GAGGAGCCCACCTCACGGGGCTGAAAATGTGCTCATGGGAGATGCCCAGCAAGAGCCTACCGTGATTGGCACTCCCTAAACATTTGCTGCTGCCGCTGCTTTTGCTGCTGACGATATCAACAGCGATGCGGAAGCCGGCTTTGCTATCTGGGAAGGGGATTTACAGGTCATCAGACAGACATGGGAACTAACCTCACCTCTCCTCTCTTGCAGAGAGCACCAGATATCCAGGTGACAGTGGAGCAGTGGGGTCACTCCGATTTAACCGTCTGGGTGAACCCCTATGAACCTATAAAGAAACTTAAGGAGAAAATCCGCCGGAGCCGGGGCTACTCGGGCCTGCAGCGTCTGTCCTTTCAGGAACCGGGTGGCCCGCGGCAGCTCCTCAGAAGCCATTGCTCACTGGCCTACTATGGAATCTTCTCCCACATCCACATCTGCCTGCTGGACACCATCTCCCCCGAGATCCAGGTCTTTGTGAAAAACCCGGATGGGAGGAGCCACGCCTTTGCCATCCACCCACTCGACTTCATCCTGAGCCTCAAACAGCAGATTGAAGACAGGCAGGGCCTTCCAAGCCAGGAGCAGCAGCTGGAGTTCCAGGGCTACGTCTTGCAGGACTGGTTTGACTTCAAATCCTATGACATCCAAGACAGTGCCACCCTCGTCCTGTCCAAGAAGAAGGAGGGGAAAGCTCCGTTTGCACCCAGCTAGTTTCCTCTGTAAGCATCTTGGCATTTCTGCTCACTCTCTTATCCTAGACTCAGCCTAGTGGTCCCTCCTTCCAGTCCTCTGCTGGGGTGATTGAAGTCTTCAGTACCCTTGCCAGGACGGAACCAGAAGGGATGTGCAAAGTCGTGTGCCACCAGGCAATAGCCGGGTGCTCTGTGACAGCGGAATTCTGCAGTCACTGATGCAGTCCTCATAACCACACCGTCAGGACTTGGTCAGTAAGAGGCAGTCTCACTCTTAAGTTGTTCAGGGGAAGCCAGGTAGGCTTCTCAACCAACTACATGGGCCCAGCTTCAGGATGACCCATCTCCAACTTCCCTACACCAGCAACCTCCATCAGGGCATATCTGAAGCCTTCCCTGTCCCCCACCCCCTTTCTGCCGGCCTCTGACTACCAAAGGCAAGGTAGGACATCAGGTTCCTTTTAAACTGAGAATAAACAGCCTTTGCATCTTCCCCTTTTAGTGGTCTTCATTCATTCCCACAGATGCCTGTCAACTCTGGGGACTGATAAAAGTAGAGAAAGTGACGTGAAAAGAGGCAAAGTCTCAGAGACTGAAGATGAGACAATGTCTAACAAAATCCCTCTGGGCATGGTAGCAGGCCTTCATCCCAGAACTTAGGAAGCAGAGGCAGGTAGATCTCTGTGAACCGGAGGCCAGCCTGGTCTACATTGTAAGTTCTAGACCAGCCAGGGCTACATAGTGAAACCCTGACTCAAAGTTTTCTGTCCATAAGAGTCTAGAGACAAAAAACAATCTCTTGTTTTTATTACCAAAGGATATTGTGGTTGGGTTTATGCCAAACAGCCTATCAGAGGCCCCCTTTTGACTTACATATCTTCCAGTTCACTTCATAGCTGGTTTTCAAAAACATCCGGGCAATTTAACAGTAATGTTCTATATATTCCTAGTTCTTTTGCCTGCAGGGACTGGAAAGCATCTTTTTTTCAAAGGGTAAATGGGCTGCTCAACCCATATCTTTGTCTACTTCCTAATACAGTGCCTCAAAAAAGGAAAGAACAGGGCTGAGGCAAATCCATGGGTTGGGCATTCCCAAACCAGGTGTGTGGTGCACGGCTACTCCAGCATCGAGGCAGGAAGATCAAAGGATTCAGTCGCCCCTGGTTACACAGTAGGTCTGAGGCCATCCTGAGCTACATGAGACCCTGCCTCAAGAGAGTTAAGTCGACTAGACGAGTAAGTCACTGTCTTGGTCCATTTAGAGTCCTCTAACAGAACCCCATAAATCCAGTGGCTTATAAATTACAAGCATTCATTTCTTACTGGGGAGTTCAAGGTCACTGGCACCTGGTGAAGAGGCCTTGCTGGTTTATAGATGGCAGCTTTTCATGTGTCCTCATGTGGTAGAGGAGAGAAAGGCAGATCTGTGGGACCATGAACAGCAGTGATAAAGGCTCTGTTCCCTGCCAATCATCTCCAAAGGCCTCATGATGGGGGACGTCCTTCTGTATATGTGTTTCTATTATTGGTTGATGAACAACACACCATTTGGCCAATAGAGACAGGAAGATAGGTGCAGCTAGGAGATGAGGAGAATTCTGGGAAAGGTAGGCAGGGGGAGACCTCGAGGACGCCATCTAAAGACCGGGAAGACAGGATGCTCCAGGTAAGATAAGGCCATGTAGAAATACATAGATTAGTAGTTTGGGTTAATAATTAAGAGAGAGCTAGCCAATAAGAAGCCCTAGCTGTCGGCCAACACTTTAATAATTAATGTAAGTCTTTGTGTGTCTATTTGGAGCTGAAGGGCAGTGGGATCTGGCAGGACAAGAGAATCACCAGCAACAGCCTCATCTCTTACAGCCACCAGCTTGGGAGGTAGGAATTCAACAATGGAGTTTTCAGGGGATTCACACGTTCTGATCATAGCAGTGACTTAAAAAAATTTTAAGGCTTATTTATTTTATTGGGTCTGCATAATCGTTTTGCCTGCGTGTATGTATGCGTACCACATTCGTGCCTGATACTCTCAGAAGTGGATGTTGGATTCCCTAGAATGGGAGTTACAGATGATTGTGAGCCACCATGTGGGTGCTGGGAATAGAACCCAGGTCCCTTGCAAGAGCAACAGGTGCTCGTATCGACTGAGCTGTCTCTCCAGAACCTCCAGCCCATCTTTTAAAATTTTTTCCACTCAAGACTGCTTTCCTCTCAAGAAATTTTTTTTCCACATCACCGCAGACACATAAGTATGTAAAACAAGCATGCAAAACAAACACAGGAAGAAAACCATAAAGAATATATAATTTGAAACAATTGTTTGGGACCAGCAAGATGGCTTGGGAGGTAAAAGTCTTTGCTGCCGAGCGTGACAAACTGAGTCCCGTGGTGGAAGGGAAGAGCTGACATTCTCAGATTGTCCTCTGACCTCCACGTGTTTACACATGCACAAATAATGCAATACAAACCTTTAAAGAAAAGTTATTTGGTGTGTATATAACCTTACCATGGACTAAAGACTAAAGCAACCAGGTGTAATTATAAACACAAACCTATAATTCTAACCTGAGGGAAGCTTAAACAAGAGAGGCAATGTAAGTTCAAGGCCAGCCTGGTAGCAAGTTCCAGGCTAGCTAGCTGGTTATATGCACACCTGTCTCAAAAGGGCAGGTGGGTGGGGATATTGCTCAGTCAGTAAAGCGCCTACCTTTGCAAGGATCTGAGTTCCATGACCTGAGCCGACATAACAAAAGCCAGGCAGGATGATGCACACTTGTAATTCCAGCATCAGCAAAGGAGCCGGGCAAACCCCTAGGGCTTGCTGGCCAGCCAGTCTAGCCAACTCAGGGAGTTTCAAAGCCAGTGAGTGACCCCGACTTGAAAGAAACAAGGGAGACATGTGAAAAAAAAAAGACAAAAGCAAGCCTGTGTGTTAGTGAGAGGGATATGTTTACTTTTGCATAAATCTTGCCTAAATATTTGGTACTGTGGGGCACAGAACTTGAATGTTTGTCAGAGTGGATCGATATTTTGGCTCTATGGTCATCAATGCTGAGAACGCCTCTTCTCAGAAATGCACTGTACAAAGCAGCAGACACGTGTTTAAGGCCATTCCAGAAGCTGTTGGAAACACTGTTCTAAACCCAGGGCAGAAGCCTACCACTTTTATAATGAAAGTCAAGTTAGCAACTTTTACAATCAAATATTCTAGTAGAAAACAATCCAAACATGTACTGATTTGTTATGTGCTATGGAATGCCAGTTAGAAAGAAAGAGGAAGGAAGGAAGGAAGAGAGGAAGGAGGAGTTGTTTCCTGCAATTAAGTTGCGCTATTTCATAACAGCAGAAAACTATACATACAGTACAAACACTGCCATTCATAGAGTGCATTGGTGGTCTCATAGCTAAGCCAGGGAGTTTCAACGTTCCCTGCCTGGCATTATGTGGTGTGAAGACATATGCAGTACAGCGTGGATATCATGTGTTCAAGGCTGCAGGAAAGATATGCAAGCGCCGGAAGCATCACAGGTTCACCACACGCTTGATTTTGAAATGCTCTAGCTCTTCGCACATTCAGAAATCTTTACTATTGCCAAATTCTTCATGACGGTCCACATTCAGTTCCCCACAGTTTAAGATACTGGAGTGGGGGTGGGGGTACAAAATCGCAGTATTTCCCGGACTAAACTGTTCACCGAGTCCACCGTAAGTGTCTCCTCGCGCACTTTTCACAGGAGGAGCTCAGGAAACGACCTGCGTAAGTGTCCATCTGCAGCGTCTTAGGGAGTACGTTGCAACTGGAAAGGCCTCCGCTATTCCAGCAGTCATTATCACCTGATTTGTTTTGTCTGTAAGACCCTGAAAGCCTATAGCTCAGCAATCTTCCTAAGATGAAAATATGAACTAAAAAAGGCGGTGCCTTCACCTCCCTGTTTGACTTTAGGATATTATTGTTACATACATACATACATACACACATATATATATTCCCCATCCAGTAAATACTGGAAGCCAGGTAAGGGGATACATGATGCCTGTAACCGCAGACCCAGTATCAACATAAAATAAGGAAGAAGAGACAATAAATGCTAAAGAAAAGAGAAAAGAAAGAAAGGAAAAAAGGATTGGAGAAGGAACTGATCCTTTGGACCCTTCCAGAGCTTCCCTTTCAGGACGCTCCAGGGCCAATGGTGATCTGAGAACTACAATCCCCATGATGCTCTGAGCGTCCCTGGCTCTCACGTGGGTCATGTGAAACGGAGACGTCCAATCAAAAAAAAGGGCGCTTTCCCCACAATGCTTTGCGGCACCTCAAGATGGTGGCGCCCAGCGGCACCATGAGCGACTCTGAGAGCTGCAGCAGTAGCAACAGCGATGCGGAGGAGCTGGCGCGGTGCCGCGAGGCGGCGATGCCCGCCTGGGGGTTGCAGCAGCTCCCGCAGGGAGCAGAGAAGCCCAGATCCGGTAGGGGGCCGTCCGAAGGGCGGGGTTCTCCCCGGGGGCCTGGGAAGGATGGACGGTGGGGTCGCCGCGTCTTGCGGGAGCTTTCGGAAGCCCGGGGACCAGCCGGTGAGATCCATCCACACCGGGGGCGGAGGGCGCATCCATCGCCCTGAGGGGCTACGGGTCTCCTGACTGCGCCTTCGTCCGTGCGTCCTGTCGCCGTTCTCGGGGAAGGTGACCGTGGCCGAATGAGCCCCTTCCTGTGCTCTGCCTTTCCCGGAGCTCATGCTGTCTGTCATCCAACCGCGATTCCCTAGCAAACGGAAAGTGAATCCCAAGTCTGCCACTACAGGGTTCTTAATCATGGTTAGCGAATCCAACAGGCCCTCCGATTTGAGATAGGTAGCAAAAATACTGCATCTTTACGTTCGTTAACTCCTAGTTGAAATTTAACGTCTCCCCCTCGGGCAACAAGCCACAGTCATTGGATAGTACCTGATACTTTGTTGCAGCAGAAGTCATCCTCCCGTTACAATCTTTCGCAGATAACAGTGAAGTATTTTATCCACAATACAATGTTGGAAAGAAATCATTGACACTCTCCTCTGCTTTAAAATTCCTGTACCTTTTAGACCCATTCCTAGGTCAGTAGATGGCTCAGCAATTGCCACACGAGCCTGCAAACTGAGTTGGACCCCCAGAACTCATGGTGGGAGGAGAGAATTGACCCCCACAAGTGAGTCCATTCTTAAACACACAGCAGTAACAAGCATTTCAAGTCTAGTAAGGGGATGGGCATAAAAACAAAGCATATAGTACTAACTGTGAAAGGTGTTTTGTTTGGTTAGTTGGTTTTTGTTTTGTTTTTGAGACAGTGTCTCTCTATATAGGACTGACTGTCCTGGAATTCACTTTGTACACCAGACTGGCCTTGAACTCACAGAGATCTGTCTGCCTTTGCCTCCTCGGTGCTGGGATTAAAGGCGTGTGCTCCCATATCTTTTAAAAAGTGGTCTTTACATTTTTTATTATGTTTATTCTGTGGGTACATACACGTGTGCACATGCACACAGGTGCCACAGTACACATGTGGGGATCAGAAATCACGTCTCTCCTTTTACCATGTGGGCCCTGGGGATCAAACTCAAGTTGTCGGGCTTTGGTGGCAAGTGTGTGGTGAACCGACCAACCGTCTTGCCATGGATGAAAGGTAAGCTCCTCGGTTTATAGATGGGTCAGGAGTTTGACGCTGTTTTCCCTTTCCTGGAAGGACCTTGCCATTGTCCTGTAGTCCTACTGGGAGCTAATCTACATGACTTTGTGTTCTAGAAGACAGATGCCTCTCATGCAGGGGCAGCAGGCATTTGAGAGTGCCCTGACCTACAGCAGGGTATCAGGCAGACGCAGTGTGAACACATTTATGCCCCACACTCTGCACTGTGTTCTGTGTTTTTATACACTGTTGCTATTGTCCAATTTTACATGGTGTTACTGTGTCATTTAGAGTCTGTTCTCACCAGGGACAGAACACCGACCTTTGTCTGAGTGCAGGTGGGTCACCTGACTATTAGTAGCCACACAGCCTTGCTTTGTTAAGTGGTCTCCACCATCAGTGTCCCCAGTGATGGCACAAAAGCCAGTTTCTTCCCCCACGGCATCAGCCCTGCATAGTAGACGCTCAATAAATGGTAATCACGTCACAGTAGGCTTGCCCGTTAAACATTAAGATGCCTCTGGAAGCAAATGGCCTGTACTCTTTCTAGCTTCAATCCAGTTAGCTATCAGTCATGCATGAGCTCAAGGCTAACCTGGGCTATGTAACTACATCTCATTTCAATAGTTTTTCAGCCCTCGACAAATTATTTTATGCGTCGTTGGTTTTATGGCTTTGGCAGATGGGAACAATGGCCACCTCTCAAATAGAAATGGGGGAGGGTGAGCCGTACATGAAATGTACCTAGCCCACAGCCACTGTTGTTCACCCTGTAAACACCTTGCTTTCAATCTCTCCACAGACGCTGCCGGTAAACAAGTACCCGTACCGTCTCAGCGAAGCCTCAGGTACCCTGTTCTTTGGATGGAGGCTCCTGAGCCGTTGGATGAGTGTTGGTGCCCTGTGTGTCCCAGATGCTAGGCTAGACCGCAAGGGGTCAGCGGGAACAAGACGGGTGGCCCCCTCCCCATGGGAGCAGCTAAGCTGTCAGGAAGTGATGTCCTTGTGTGTTACAGGCGTGAGGTGAACCAGCACGATGAAGACGGCAATGAGCTTCAGACCACTCCAGAGTTCCGAGCCCACGTGGCCAAGAAGCTGGGAGCCATGCTGGACAGGTGAGCGGGGTGCGCTTTGTCTCGCCTCAACCGCCCAGATTCTGGGATTACAACCTTGTGCCCAAACCCAGAAAAAATAATAAATAAATAACATAACATAAGAAATTTTTAGATTTAAAAACAAAGGGTGCTTCTGTTGTTGCGCAAAATGTCATCCTAAGTCTGGCACCTTCTCTCCCTCAGCTCCATCGCCATCTCAGAAGTGTGGAAGCCACACAGGGCGGAGGAGCAGCAGGTGACAGAGGAGGAAGGTGGTAAGTCATTAAAGTACTGACAGGTGCTGCCGTCGGGAGCGGCTGGCAGAGCTGTGCGGCAGGGTTCTTCTTGCATCTGCTCTCGCCACGCTCTGAGGCAGGAATTATGGTACTCATCCCCAGAATGAGCTAGCTCTGAGAACCCTCCCTTGCCCTGGTCCCTGCAGAAGCGTTTTGCCTTCTCATCCCACAGTCTGTCTGACCCTGTCCTACACTTGGGCCTCTTTGGAGGCTGCCACAGATAAGACACCCAACTGCTGGCTTCTGGGGGCTTCTGAGGGCCAGGTGTGGTAGTGCACACTTTTAATCCCTGCACTTGAGGCAGAGGCAGGTGGGTCAGCCAGGTTACATAGCAAGCTGAAGGACAGCCAGAGCTACATAGAGAGATCCTGTCTCAAAACAAAGTCCACCAGAAGCTGCTGAAGTTCGGAAACACACATCACACCACCCCCGGCTCCACAGGAGAGCAAGCAAGCAGTTCCTCAAACAAGCCTCAGTTTACATGCACGTGACAGGTGCCTGAGCCTTCACCACCTGACTGGGATGCCCGAGGACAGGCTGTGGCCTCAGCACCCGGAGGAAGGTTCTGTGCCTGCTTCCCCAATTGCTGACTCTGTCCCCACGATTCCTAGGGTTCCGCCTCTTCTTCACATCCATCCCCGGAAGCCACAAGAAGGAAGTTTCTCCAAAACCCCGCCGAAAGCGCCAGCCCCCAAGCTCCAGGTGAGAGCCCACCTCCCCTTCCCTCCCTCCCCTCTCCTCTCATGGCTAATCCAGTGAAGTAGCTAAGTTGCCCTGGTCAGGTCCAGACCAAGGGAAGAAGCCTATGAGATAACAGGGCCGTGTGCCCCAGCAGGAAGTGTGCAGGGTCATTAGGGGGAGCTAAGGCTCTCCACACATCACGAGCAGCCATCTTGGACCAGATTCCTCCCTGTACCGTCCTTGACTTCTGAGGTGCTCCGTGAGGTTTGGGTGCTGTTAGAGTCCTCGATGCAGGTGACAGCATTGAGGTCGGTGAGTTAAGGTCACGTTGCTGACAAGCAGAGAAGCTGACCTTGGAGCCTGAGTCTACCTCACCAGAGCTACTTGTTGCCTCCACCCCAACTGGAGGGACAAGGCAGCTGTGAGGCCCGTCCAGATGGCCGCTAATCTTGGGACTCTCCCTAGCAGCAGCGAGGACAGTGACGGGGAGTGCCAGCGGTGCCGAGAGGCAGCTGTGTCTGCTTCGGATATTCTCCAGGAGTCAGCCATACACCGTCCTGCCGAGGTGCAGGAGCTGGAGAAGAGAAAGTTGAAAAAGAAAGCCAAGGAGGAGATGGACATCGACTTGGCTGGAGCCGCAGGCCTGAAACAGGTGGAGGAGGCCGGCAGCGTCATTGGGGACCCAGCGCCGCTTGGGGTCAAAAAGAAGAAAAGGAAGAAAAAGGCCAAGAAGGCCAGGGAGGCTTCCCGTGCCCACCCGCAGAGCGTCAGCGGCTGGGCCTGAAGATTGACTCCAGGCCATAGGCGCCGCGGCCACTGGCTCTTGAGGATGAGGCACCCGTTGGGTCGAAGGCCATGCTCCCTCCAGATTCCATGCCTCTGCCCGCATGCACGTGACTTTAGTGTGCAGAGAAGCCTGAGCAGGGCCCTCTGTCACCTCAGAAGGGCAGGTTCTTCCAGCTTCTGAGACTGACTCAGAGCGCCAGTGTCCTGTCCCATGTTGAGGTCCCCACTCACCTGCCCAGCCCGGCGTGACAAGTGGCCTTTAAGAGCGAGGGGGTGGGGTCTCCAAGCTACTGAGGAAAATTGCTGTACCTCTCCCCCAGCCCACACAGACCTAACAACGTTGTCTAGAAAAGTGTCTTCCCCCGCTCCTTCTTTTCCCCAGAATTTTCTTACTCCAAATTGCCAATACACTCTTCGTAATAACGTGTCTAAGTCAGCTCTGTTACTGAAAGTCAGGTCCCAGAGTGCTGGGGACCCGCTTACTGGCCGGGTGCAGGCTTAGCTACAGAGCCCCGAGTTCTGTCTCCAGCACCAAAGAGAAAAGAGGAAAAGTCAGGTGACCCAAGATGTAGACTCGTATTGCGCCTGCTCAGTGCTGACCAAGGCGAACTCTTTGTTTGTTTGTCTGGAAGAGTGTCTGTGTAGCTCAGATTGGCCTAAGACCACCAGTCTCCTGCTCCTGCCTCCCAAGTAGAGTAACAGGGATGAGCCATCGGTGCCGGGGATCAAACCTACAGCATCATGCTTACTAGGCAAGTGTTCTACCACTGAGCCACATCCCCAATGCTGAAAGTTAGGGAACATCTTAAATAAAAACCACATGTGCGCAGCTTCCCCCTGCCTTCCCTCCTGGCCGCTGAGGGATACGCAGGAAGCTCCCACACACGTTTCATTGACTTTACTAAAAGTTAAATAAATGTACAGACTTGTCCATGGCTGGCTAAGCTTCGCAGAACACTGGCTCTCTCCAGGCCCTTGGCCCCAGACAGGAGCCCACCAAGAGCCAGGTCCTCTGTAGTAGGCCCAGGGAGATGAGGTCACCTGCTTGCTCTGGGTTCTCACAGCGCTCTGCCCCTCACAGCCCCACTGGCCTCCTCAGAACGGCTGCCAGTCCCCAGGCTCCAGCCCGGGCTGCGTAGTGGCTTCTCCTGGTCTCCGCATTCTCTCCGCCAGACACAGCTCAGCCTCGCCTCACACCAAGAAGGAAGAGTTGCCAGGGCCCTAAAGCCAGAGGAGCTGATGGCCCGGGACATGGCTTCATGGGAGTCAACACCCTAAGGGACAGGGATGACAACCCCTTGCCCTGAAGTGGCCTTTCTAATGGAGGTGCCAGCATCACCAGCTAACCCCTTTGTCCCAGGTGTCAAGTTTCCTATTCTGTGCAGCAGGATGATCTTCCAACACTGTCCAGAATGGGCTGCCTTCAAGACATTTGTGGTCCCGTCTCAGGCCGGGATACCGCAGAGCCACCCCTCTGTGACGCTGGAGGAGCAGCTGTGGAATGAACGGCCAGCAGCCTATGGCAGGGGACACATGGCAGGCTCAGATGTCCTCCAGCCAGCATGGCCCTGGCCCTTCTCTGTCCCCTATGCAGACAGTACAAAATCTGGGGACCCATCACCGTGGTTACTGGGAGGAGGCCATCTGGGTGGAGATAAAAGTCTCGATGACACCGTGGTTGGATGGCAGCAGATGGCTATGCCCGTTGGTGGAGTCAGAGCTCTGGTACAAAACCAGGCTGCTGGAGGACACTGCAGAAGCAAATGCGGTCACTGGCTGTCGGCCGAGCCCCCTCTGACCTCCACCCCACCTGCCCATCCCTAGGGATGCTCCAGAGGGGAAGGCAGAGCCTCACATCCTGAATCACAAGTCAGCCCTCTCCCCTGCAGGGCCAACAGGGAGCCTCCCAGATGCTGGGCTGAGTCAAACAGTAACGTGGCCATTACCAGAAAAGTTGCTTTGTTTTGCTTTTGCGTTACCGGGGATCGAACCCAGGCCCTCGTGTTTGTATACAGCCCCTCAGAAGGTTATTTTGTACATGTGGTTAACAGTGAATTGCTAACAGTGAAGTTACCCTTGACCACGTGGACAGGCCAAGTCTAATCAGAAGGCTGGGACTAAAGAGAACCCTGAAGCTTCCTAGAGAAACTCTTCTTTGAGGTCAGTTTCCTCCTGCCTGCGCTGGCCCAGTGTGTCCCAGTCTGCTGCTGCCCTGCAGGACGGGTGGCAGACATGCTTCCCCCACAGCTGTGATCCACAGTGTGAATGCTATTGGCGCTGTCTCGAGAGATCCCAAACTGATGAAAGGTGACAGGCCGTGAGCCCTGGGTCCGACCTGTCTACCACCACAGCTGTGGGAATGGTTCCCTCGCCTCCTTGAGTGTGCGTTTGCCCACCTGTACAATGAGGCAGGGTCCCAGTAACTGATGTCAGCCACAAGGGCCAGCTGGGGCATCTGAGGCCCCAGAGGACAGCAGCTTTCCTGAATCACAAAATTGGGGCTAGAGGACACCGCAGACCTCAGCCCTGCAGCCTCCATGACACTGTAGCTGTGAGCTTAGATGGAGGGGCTGAGGGTGCAGGCCGTCTGCTGTGATAGAACGTGAGTCCTCACAGCTTCCCAGACTCCTAGGTGAAGGCTGAGCTCTTTGGTTTTCATTGGTTTGGTTTTTCGAGACAGGGTTTCTCTGTGTAACAGCCCTGGCTGTCCTGGCACTCACTCTGTAGAAACCCCCTGCCTCTGCCTCCTGAGTGCCGGGATCAAAGGTGTATGCCACCACCGCCCAGCAAAAGCTGAATTTCTAATGCTGGCTGCTTGTCCGAAGAATATTAAGCACTGAGCCCTGGGGAGATGGCATGGTGGGGTGAAGGGAAAGAAGCAGATGACCTCAGCTCAATCCTTGGGACCCACCTGCTGGCTAGAGAACCAGCTCCTGAACGTTGCCCTCTGACCTCCATTCAGGAAGCACCGCCCCCCTCATCCGCCCTCAATCCATCATTGAACACACCACCTCATCCTACTGGGAGACAGCAGACCGCTCACCGGTGGGGCTGGTGCTGAGCCGGTGGGCCGGCTGCAGGTGCTGGATGCTCGATGGGTCCTGGCTGGGGATGTGGATGGTGGTGGCTGGAGATGACGGCTCATGAAGCCCGGGCTCACTGGAGGCCTCTGTGTCTGAGGTGAAGACCTAGGGAACCAGGGTAACGCCCTGAGCCAATGGCGTGGAGGTGTGGGGCTCCGGGCTTCAGGAGGCAGGTCCTTACCTGCTTGGTGGGCGTGAGGCTGGCCAGGGCACTGAGGTTGGTGTCCGTGATCAGCATGGTCTGTGGAAGCAGACTTGTGTGCGTGTACTGGGCCACCTCAGGCTTGTGGCTGTAGAGGGCTGGGAGGGGAGGACACGGATGGATAGATGGGGCTTGGAGACCCAGATGGGAGAGATGGATCCCGTCTTCCCATTATAGGGGCCTCAGCTAAGCGGGATGGGGAGCAGCCAGACGACGGCCCAGCATCAACAACAGCTCATCTTGTGTTCGTTCCCCCACTGCCCTAGGTGGAATACAGCCCAGCTACGTAGAACAAAGGAGGAGCCAAGGCAACGGGCCTGTGCCCAGCACGGGGTGTATTAGACACGGGTACTGCTGTACTAAACGTAGGCGGTACTGTTGTACCAAGTGCAGGTGCCGTGCAGTGCTGTGTTCTCTGTTACGCTGAGCAAAGGGACCACAGTAGCAAGCACAGGTGCTGTGGGGGGAGGGGAGCACAGGTGCTGTAGGGGGGAGGGGAGCGCAGGTGCTGTAGGGGGAGGGGAGCACAGGTGCTGTGGAGGGGGAGGGGAGCACAGGTGCTGTGGGGGGAGGGGAGTGCAGGTGCTGTAGGGGGGAGGGGAGCGCAGGTGCTGTAGGGGGAGGGGAGCACAGGTGCTGTGGAGGGGGAGGGGAGCACAGGTGCTGTGGGGGGAGGGGAGTGCAGGTGCTGTAGGGGGGAGGGGAGCGCAGGTGCTGTAGGGGGAGGGGAGCACAGGTGCTGTAGGGGGGAGGGGAGCACAGGTGCTGTAGGGGGGGAGGGGAGCGCAGGTGCTGTAGGGGGGAGGGGAGCGCAGGTGCTGTAGGGGGGAGGGGAGCGCAGGTGCTGTGGAGGGAGGGGAGCGCAGGTGCTGTAGCGGGGGAGGGGAGCGCAGGTGCTGTGGGGGGAGGGGAGCGCAGGTGCTGTAGGGGGGAGGGGAGCGCAGGTGCTGTAGGGGGGAGAGGAGCGCAGGTGCTGTAGCGGGGGAGGGGAGCGCAGGTGCTGTAGCGGGGGAGGGGAGCGCAGGTGCTGTAGGGGGGAGGGGAGCGCAGGTGCTGTAGGGGGAGGGGAGCGCAGGTGCTGTAGGGGGAGGGGAGCACAGGTGCTGTAGGGGGGAGGGGAGCGCAGGTGCTGTAGGGGGAGGGGAGCACAGGTGCTGTGGAGGGGAGGGGAGCGCAGGTGCTGTAGGGGGAGGGGAGCGCAGGTGCTGTAGGGGGGAGGGGAGCGCAGGTGCTGTAGGGGGAGGGGAGCGCAGGTGCTGTGGAGGGGAGGGGAGCACAGGTGCTGTAGGGGGAGGGGAGCGCAGGTGCTGTGGAGGGGAGGGGAGCACAGGTGCTGTGGAGGGGAGGGGAGCGCAGGTGCTGTAGGGGGAGGGGAGCGCAGGTGCTGTAGGGGGGAGGGGAGCGCAGGTGCTGTAGGGGGGAGGGGAGCGCAGGTGCTGTAGGGGGGAGGGGAGCGCAGGTGCTTTAGGGGGAGGGGAGCGCAGGTGCTGTAGGGGGGAGGGGAGCTCAGGTGCTGTAGGGGGAGGGGAGCGCAGGTGCTGTAGGGGGGAGGGGAGCGCAGGTGCTGTAGGGGGGAGGGGAGCTCAGGTGCTGTAGGGGGAGGGGAGCGCAGGTGCTGTGGGGGGAGGGGAGCGCAGGTGCTGTGGGGGGAGGGGAGCACAGGTGCTGTAGGGGGGAGGGGAGCACAGGTGCTGTAGGGGGAGGGGAGCGCAGGTGCTGTAGGGGGGAGGGGAGCTCAGGTGCTGTAGTGGGGAGCACAGGCGGGGAGCACAGGCGTATGCAGCAGACTGCTGGCCCCCAGCTAGCAGGGCAGAGGCTAGCCATACCTCTCTGCAGGACAACTCTGACATGAAACACAGTTTCACCTCTAGACTTGAACTCAGCTAAAAGCAGATTCACTTTCAGCCTCACACAGGTCCCCACTTCCACAGCCCCTGGCTCCACACTAAAGTCCAAAAGGTCTGAAGCCAAAGCGTAGCATAAGGTTGTCCTCCATGGCCCATTTGGTGGGCAATGCAGATCTGGTGTGAGGCTATGTGAGGGTGTGTGGGTGTGTGCGTGCGTGCGTGTGTGTGGTGCCACCCACCCTGTTTTTTGAGACTGTCCTCTCAGTGGCCTGGAGCTCGCCAAGTAGGCTAGACTGGCACCGGCCCCAGGGATTGTTAGTCTCCACCTCGTCAGTTCTGGGTTACAGGAAGTACAGGCTGCCATGTCCCATGCATGCCCCATGGCTTGAGGGATACGTCTTCAGCACTTCACTGACTGAGCTGTTTCTTCCTAACCCTGTGAGGATCTTTAACCTGCTGCGAGTAGTCCCATCTTTTATTGCAGAAATAGCAATGCTCTGTGGACAGGCGCTGCCCATGCTGACTGGGAATAATAAGTAACACGTGATATAGCCACAAGCTACCTTTCTAGAACTGGGAAACTCATAAACCGAAGTGTGCATAGCCCCAGGGTTCAGATGATAGGCTGTGGCCTGCATCCTAGCACCCAGACAAACCTGGGGACATGACGGGTGGACACCAGCATTGCACACATTGAAAAGCTCCTGTGCACACACACAAACAGGTTGGTGGGCCCCCTGTACCA